CAGATGCTTAGGGGAAGCCCACAAACAGGAGTGCTCTCCCCATTTGCAGTTTTCAGCAATACCAGAAGTAGATTTTGGTAACTTTGGCAGGCATGGCAATAATTAAAATCAGCAATACAATCCAGGTGGAGCTTTAAAATCTCCCAGAGGAGTTCTCCTTGCCCACCACGGGATCCCAGGCTAGGAATTAGTATTATTTTGTGGTGGGACCATCATTCAATGGGAGAAGATTTTATTTGCATGAAATAGGCTATTGTGGGTGGAAGGCAAAGATGCTGCATCACAAGCCGGCTACACAGACAAATGATCTAACAGTCCAAGGCAATTTCATACCGTCTTTTGGAGAATCTGTGGCCTAATAATGGAGCCACTGTTTGCATGCAGAAGGTCATAGGTTTGATCCGCAGTTCAAGGGATCTTGGGACTGACCCTTGGTAGACACATATAATGTTGGAGTAGATGGGTGAGGGGTATGATTCTGTATATTCCCTCTTCTCCATGAGTTGTGGGATAATGGGATTCTTGGTTTCTAGGATGGAATAAGCATATCTTTTAATGCACGTGGGCACAGACTGCTTCGTAAAACAGCCCCTCATTTTTCTGAATTACATTCCCAAGTGTGATCACTGTATATAGATATTTCTTTCAAAATATTCCAACTTCTATGATTCTTTATGATTCTTCACAGCCACACATTTTCATCCATAGGGATAATAATAATAATAATAATACAACTTGATAGCTAGAAGTATTTGAAAGGGGTTTCAGGAGTAGACAGATGAAGAAAATCTTTTCATTTAATTTCAAATTGTATTTAACAGCCCTATGATCACCACTTTATGGCTTTAATTTGATGAGGGAATATTTACATTCCATTTTAAAGCTCTCATTGCAACAATTCTGCAGGTTTTAGATTCATTTTTCCCCCTCATCCCTTTCAATTTTTTCCAAATGTAATTAATTACTTGGACATTTTTCCAGATTCTATCATCCAGTGGCAAAGAACTTGCCAATTGCCTGATCTTTTTTAAATTTTGTTTAAAATCATTCCAGAAAATGATTATTAAGGTTAGTTTGCTAAATCTCCAGGCTGACATATATGATAAATCAGAAGTGAATTTCAGGTATGGCTTTCCAGAGATGAGGAGTGGTGTCAGAAATAATAGGATGTATTTGCAGAAATAATCCTCAACCTTACCCAAGATTGCCAACTGACTACAAAAAGCTATGTGGCCTGCTCTAATATCTTTATATGCAACTAGTGAGGAACAGTAGAAAGAGCTCAGTGTTTAGCCTGGAGAAGACAACATTAAGAGGACATGTGGTAGCTGTGTCAAAACTGTGTTTGGTTCCTTTTAGGGCAGTGTTTCCCAATTAGTGGTCCACAGACCTCAGGGGGTCTGCATAATCCACCCAGTAGCACCATTCGCAAAACAAAAACTACCATAGAAATATCCAAAATTTCAAAAGTAGGAGGTCCATGGCTCGGCATTTGAGAAACAGGGGGTCTGCATTACTTAGCTAATTGGGAACCACTGTTTTAGAGGAATCGTTTGGGAGTGACACAGCAAGAGGGGATAAGGGAATATATTTTTCTGTAACTCCCACTGAGTATTATGAAAAAGTAAAATAACTAGGTTTTCCTGCTCATTCTTCCTTTTCTTCATAGTGTGCAAAATCAGAGTTTAGTTTCTTATAAGCAGTTAGTAAAAGTTAGTTAATAACTGGAATTATTGTTAAAGAAGCTAAGCTTCACAGAACCGACATTCCTGTTGAGAAGGCTTTAGGAGCTGCAATAAGCTGTCTTCAAAGGCTGTAATGTAGAAGATGGATCAGATTTACCCTCTGTTGCTCAAGATGCCTAGAACAGATGGGTGGAAAATGCAGGTAAGCAGATTACATCTAAACTTTAGGATAAACTTTCTAACGGTACAAGCTGCTGAGCAGTAGAACAGATTGCTTCTGCAGGTGGTGCATTCCCCTTCATGGGAAGTGTTTGAGCAAAGTCTAGGAACCCATCTATTAACCATGCTGTAGTTTTCTCGTACATTGCATATTCTGCACTGAACTCGTACAGAGGTTCAACATAAATTTGGAGAGAATAAATTTTTCCTCTACTACGTTTTCAACCTGGTGCTTGAGTTGTTCAGACTGGAATGAAGTAGTATTTCTGAATTTTAAAAACATGCAAGCTTTTCAAACTCTTGATGGATTGCCCCACTCCGAAACTCATAGACCTAAAATCATTGTTGCTGCCAGGATAACTACTTGCAACCCCCCCCCCAAAAAAAAGCTAACTTAAATTTAAAAAAACAAATGTCATGTGGTGTCAGGGGTTCAGGAGCAGAGGCAAGGGCAAGGGAGGAAACAGAGAGCGAGGGGGAGGAGGCAGAAGAAAAGATGAGTGATGACGACGACCCGAGATCTCCGAGTCTTTCCAGTGAATCAGAAGATTCACAGAAAGGAGCACCAGTGGCCAGGGCAAGGGGGGAGCCTAGGGGGACGCCCCAGGAAGATAGAGCCAGAGGGGACTCAGAGGGGAGCAGTTGGAAATCGGGACCAGCGTCACCGCCAGAGAGCAGGGAAGAGGAAGGGCGCCAGGGATCAAGCGCTGGCAACTCACAACAGGGGGGAGGGCACGAGTCAGGAGTGGCCACACCTCCATCGGGGAGCGAAGAAACGGTCAGACGGAAGGTGGAAGGTTGGGCGCGCGCGCAAGTTCAAATGCACAGGAAGGTGGCACAGTAGGCAGCCCGGAAAGGGAGCCAGGTCCTAAAGCCCGCCGAAAGGAGGGAGAAGAGTCAGGGGGGTCAGCGTCAGCGTCAGAGGAATCCCGGAAAGAAGAGACCCCAGGGGGCAGAGGGACCCAGAGAAGAACAGTCAGGCGGAAAAGGTGGAGCAGGGCTAGGATATTAAGTTGGTGTACAAGGGGCGGAGACTCAGACGGAGCTTCGCCGGTCTAACCATGAGACGTAGAGTTGCACGCAGCAGTTTGAGAATGGAAACTGTAACTCAATAAAGACTTTTGTTTAATGATCGCTGGCTAGCGTGATCCTCTGTGAGCTAGGATCTGGAAGCAGCTCTGACATGTGGGAAAAATGAAAAGCACAAAACTTGAAACTACCAAAATTATTTTAAATTGAAAGAACAAGTAATACATCCATCTTTGATTCTCTTTCTCAAATACAAAAGAAAATGTTTTAGCACACAAATCATTTTGAATAACCTTGTGAATTGTGTTGTCGACATTTCTCAAAAGTTTCAGTTTCAGGCACATCAAAATCTCACTTTGCATGCCTTTTCCTTTGCAAATTCTGTCACCGGCTCCTTCAGCTCAAGAGCTGATGCTTTGACACGTTCCACTGATGTAGTTGCCAAGCCAACTAGTCTCTTTTGCAACATTGTTGAGCACATGCAAGTCTTTATAAGTTTAAGCTTCGAGAAACTGTGCTCACCACTTGCCACTGACGCTGGAAGTGTGAGGAGGATTCTTATGGCAACAGAAACATTGGACACGTTATCCAGGAGTTTTTGTTGTAGTATGAAGAGAGGTTCTCCTTATGGCAGCATGGACTTCGGAAGTCTTCATTCTGTTGCTATAAGTTCATAGCACAAATAAAACTGTAGCCCTCAAAGGTCAAAACTGTGTTTGTCTGAGGTCTGTCTAGCTGCCCTAATGATAACACTCCTTCCTACAATAAAAATACGAGTGGCCTCTTGGAGCATATTCCTCATTCATATAATGCATGCAGACAGGGTGAAGGCAGGCTTCTGGTGATGGGACCCTGTCTGTAATGGACACCAAACCAATGGGACTCTCTAGAGCAGGGGTCAGCAACCTTTTTCAGCCATAGGCCGGTCCACTATCCCTCAGACCATATGGTGGGCCAGACTATATTTTGGAAAAAATAAATGAACGAATTCCTGTGCCCCACAAATAACCCAGAGGTGCATTTTAAATAAAAGGACATATTCTACTCATGTAAAAACACGCTGATTCCCGGACTGTCCGGGGGCTGGATTTAGAAGGCGATTGGGCTGCATCTGGCCCACGGGCCTTAGGTTGCCTACACCTGCTCTAGAGATGTAGCAAGCCCTTTTTCTTTGCAGTTTTAATTGGTCACTGAAGATGCACCAGTTCTCCTTTGAGTGTTGAGCTGCTATTGTTGAGTGTCCCGCTATATACCATCTGACTTGTTGATATGTAGGTCTTATACAGTATGATATATTAGAGTGGGGTCATGCGACTATATTTTTTATCTTTTTTGAAATGTAGCCCACCTTGGTTGAGACTTTATGATGGTGATGATGACAGGGGTGCCAAGTTGAATATAAAAAAATGGGGGGGGGGTCAGGCAAGTCCCGCCCTGCATAATCAATCACAGGATGTGACACACACTTTTGAATGGCAATCCCCTCCCTCAAGTATTTTATTGGGGGGATGAAAGGACATTGGCCCCTAGGCGTTAACTCCTATGGATGGTGGTGGTGATGATTGTGATAAAAATGGAGTAAGAAAAAGGAGAGGGGGTGGAGAGCAAAATCCTGCAAGTTGTCAACACAAAATCTGATGCTGCAATTGAAATTAAAAATGAATTTCAACAGGGATAAATGTCAGGTTCTACACTTGGGCAGGGAAAACGAACTGCACAAGTATAAATGAGGGTCACCTGGATTGCTTTAGTATATGTGAAAAGGGTCTGAGGATCTTAGTAGACCACAAGCTTAACATGAGTCAACAGTGTGATGAGGAGCAAAAAAAGCTAGTTTTATTGTAGGCTGTGTCCAAAGAACTCTAGTGTCCCACTCAAGGGAAGTAATAGTAACACTCTGTTCTGCCTTGGTCAGTCCACACTTGGAGTCCTGCGTCCAGTTCTGGGCAGCACAATTTAAGAAGGGTATTGGCAAGCTGGAATGTGTGCAGAGGAATCATAGAACTGTAGAATTGGAAAGGATCCTGAGGGTCACCTAGTCCAACCCTCTGCAGTCCTGCTCACACCTGTCTCTGTGTGGGCTTGAACCTGCAAGCTTATGGTAAACAGCCAGATGCACTGATCCATTGTGCCACAGAGAAGCCTGCAACTTACTTAATCAGTTATCATTAACTATTTAATGGGCTTGGTTCAGCAGGAAGGGGTTGCAGTTAGCAGAGGAGAAACAGGCTGTTTTTGTGTGTGCTTACAGGTTAGGAGTGTGCTTTGGATGAGAGCGATCAAGATGATAAAGGGTCTGGAAACCAAGCCTTATGTGGAACAGTTGAGGGAACTGGTTATGTTTTGCCTGGTAAAGAGGAGACTGAGAGGAGCTATGATAGCCATCTTCAAACATCTAATGGACTGTCACATGGAGGATGGAGCAAGCTTGTTTTCTCCTGCTCCAGAGGATTCTGTGATTCTATGAAAGTTGCTCATTCTTTGTTTGAATTCACACAACATCCAAAGTGCAACAGGGCAGAGCTGGGAGAGATGGAGAGTGGCAGAAGAAAGTCGAGACAGGGAACAAGTGAAAACTTGAGGAGGAGGAGGAATCAGAATAATATATTCCTGGCCCTCCAGTATTTTACTGATTAAAATGGGGACACCACTCCAGTTTTAATACCAAGTATCACTGCCAGACACACATCCCACACTCCCTATTACACATTACAGACAGTTCCACACCACCTGCTGTATCGGTTTACTCTTCAATTGCCTATTATCCTTTTATCCAAATGCCAAAAATCGGGGGAAATGGAAAAAAATATTCATTGGACAAAATGGCATGCTGTTCACTATAGCTAATCAGAAAAGAGTAAATGTGTGAGTAAGGATGAGCCAGTTGGATTTTTATGGGGGAGGGCGTTATGCACAATTCAATTGGATTTCAACTTTAAAATTCCAAGGTGCGTAATATTATGCATGGTGAGGAGAAAACATAAATAAGATGTTTTATGGGGCCACCCAATATTGGAAGATTCAGGTCAGGCTAAGGACAGTACTTCTTCATACAGTGCTGATTCACTATCATAATGGCCATCAACTTTGGATTAGACAATTTCATAGAAGATAAAGCTATCAATGGCCACAAGCCATGATGACTATGTTTCTCCCTCCACTATCAGAGGCAGTACATTTCTCAAGGCCAGATTCTGGGGATTGCAACCTGGAGAGAGTGCTATTGTATTCAGGTCCTGTTTGTGAACTTCCCATAAGCATCTGGTTGGCCACAGTGAGAACAGGATGATAGACTAGATTGAACTTTTTGCCCTTATTTGCTCTTATTATGTTCTTAAACTGTGCACTTGGCCTAGCTGAGCCCCTCCAGTTGAATGTTCACAGCACACTTGTGTTGCAGGCAGAGCTACAGTGTCTGGTTCAAAGGTTAGCAGCCCAAATTGTTGCCCAAAAGGGGAATTTAAATCCTATTCTTTATTCTTCTTTATTATATACCAGGTCTTAGCACAAAATCCAGAGGGAGAGAGAGAGATGGAAGGAAAAAAACCTCATTTGGTATCTTTTGAAATCTCTCTGCACTCCAGGAAGTGTTTTTATGGCCCGCTGCACATTTCGCATATTATCATGGCTTTGCTAACACATGCAGACTTCTGCATTTTGTATCATCAAATATTTAATGGAAAAAACTAGCCAGCTGGTTATGGTTTCCCATTTGAACAGCCAAATGCGGGCAGAAGATTAGGTGGAGGGCAAACAGAGCAAAGCTAAGAATTCGGGGACCCTTCATTTTTCTTTCTGAAGCACGAATGTGTAGTTTCATTTATTGGTGCACTTGGCCCTGATTCAAAGAACTGGTTTTCATTATTTATTATCTTCTCGTTAAAAGAAAAAGAAAACAAGCAAAAGGTTTTGGAGGTCACTAGCACTTTGGATTCTGAACTTTGCTGTCCACCTGTTTGGGGTAGATAAATCAAAGGGATATTCCCAATGTGGCAAAATCTAAAGATGATAAATCAGACATTAAGGGTGGTTGGAAATCAAATGGTGAGGAAGAAGGTGATCAGACTGTGGCTGAAGCTGCCCCACAAAATATTAAGATATTCATTCATCTACTCATACTGAATGGCAACTAACAGATTGAGGTTGAATCCTGACAAGACAGAAGTACTGTTCTTGGGGGACAGGGTGTGGGTGGGTGTGGGGGAACTCCTTGGTCCTGAATGGGGTAACTGTGCCCCTAAAGGACCAGGTGCCCAGCCTGGAAGTCATTTTGGATTCACAGCTGTCCATGGAGGCACAGGTCAATTCTGTGTCCAGGGCAGCTATTTACCAGCTCCATCTGGTACACAGGCTGAGACCCTACTGCAGACTATCTCGCCAGAGTGGTGCATGCCCTGGTTATCTCCTGCTTGGACTACTGCAATGTGCTCTACGTGGGACTACCTTTGAAGGTGGCTCAGAAACTACAACTAATCCAGAATGCGGCAGCTAGACTGGTGACTGGGAGCGGCCACCGAGACCATTTAACACCGGTCCTAAAGGATCTTCACTGGCTCCCAGTACATTTCCGAGCACAATTCAAAGCGTTGGTGCTGACATTTAAAGCCCTAAACGACCTTGGCCCAGTATACCTAAATGGGCGTCTCCACCCCCATCGTTCTGCCCAGACACTGAGGTCTAGCTCCGAGGGCCTTCTGGTTCCCTCCTTGCAAGAAGTGGGGTTGCAGGGAACCAGGCAGAGGGCCTTCTTGATAGAACACCCTCCCTCCAGTTGTCAAGGAAATAACTATTTGACCTTTAGAAGACATCCGAAGTTGGCCCTGTTTAGGGAGGTTTTTAAGGATTGGTGCTTTTATGTTTTTAGATATGTTGTAAGCTAGAGCTGCCATATGTCTGGAAAATCCCGGACATCACTGGGATTTGTCACCCGGAAATGGTGTCTGGGTGGAATTTTCAATTCCCGTTGTAAATGTCCGGGGAAACCGAAACATATGGTAACCCCTGTTGAAAGTGGGTGGGGGTTTTTTTTGCTAATTTTGGTTGGTTGGTTAGTTTTGAGGGAAAGCAGCCAGCGTGCCTTCATCTCAGTGGCCTTTTCCCAAAGAACCGTTGATTGATTTATCTCCCTCTCTCCCTAACCTGGAAGCAGTGCTAAGCCGAGCCGTATTGAAAGCCAAGGCACAAGGCAGGAGGGTATGTGTGAGAGGGAGCTTTGGTCTGGCTGGAAACTTTGTGAATTTTCCCTGTGCCCCTCAGTTCCCAGCCAAGCAGATCCCCTGGATGTGAGGGTTCCAGTCAAGGGGGTGCCCTGTGCATGCCAGCCTGTGAGTTTGTGTGCTGTTTGTGTGTGTGCATGTGAGAGTGGAAGTGTAGGAGAGGGAGAGAGGGAAAGAGTAGGAGGGAGGGGGGCCGAGGGACAAGAAGCCACCTCTTGGCACCTGACTGTCATCACTGCCCGATCCAAGCCCCCCAGGGCAAAATCAGTAGCAGCCCCCCCTTTACAACAATTGGGGGGGTGGAGGTTAAGTGTTTAGTGAAATTTTTCAAGCAGCAGATGAGTATAAATTATCCTTCCCTGACCACCCCCCAATATGTTTGCAGTACGCGGCCAGAGTGCATAATGTGCAATTGGATAGTTCTGACAACACCACAACTCTTTCTCTGTGTGTTCATTCACAGAATGGGACAAAGGAAATATGGAACATTTGTGCAGGACTAAACAAGTTGCACTAAACCTCAGCATGTTCTGTGGCCACCACCTTTAATTCTTTTTTCTGCCCATGGGGTCTTTGATCATCAAAACAGGTGCATGGCAGACTCTAAAGGCAGCACAGTGCTCAGCTATTAATGTCTGTCCAAACACTCACATTTGAATGATGGCCTGTTATGCTGAGCTTGTTGAATTGGATACACACAAAAAGAAAAGACTGCAAATATCTGGCTTTGATATAAAGCAGGAAGGGGCGGGGCGCAAGGGAAAGTAGCTGTGTAGTCCCTTTATTTCCTTGATTTGATGTGTCTTTCTAAAAATAGCAACAGGATGACATTGCAGGCAACACTTCTGAAAGGCAACATTTGCAAAGGCCCCTCCTTATATTTTACTGCTTTTACATGGAGTTGTTTAGTAGCAGTGGGCTTCAAGATAACAAAGTTATAATGCATGCCTTATCAGCAGCTCCCATGTTTTGTCTACCAAAACTAAAAATTTTTCATTGTGTCACCTTTATTGACTCAACACATCCTCTGTCTAGCAGTAAACATAATGAATAAGGAACACATGGTAGAAGATCACATGTAAGTCATTGGATCTGTTCAAGAAACCGCAAGGCAGAATTGGATTAAATGCTGTCTTTATAGATTTGAGTGTTGCTATCTTGCAGTCAATAATCTACCCACCCTGCTCAAGAAGCTAATGTTACTGCTACTACTGTTGATGCTGAATTATATCAGTAAATGAAGTGGAAAAACTCAGAAGGAACTGTGAAGAAGCAACTTCTAAGTGATTTCAAAATATTGGGAGACATGATTACTCCATGGATCGTGTGCTTTTTTAAAAAAATCATGCACTGCATAGTTTAACTATGGAACTTGCTCCCACAAAAGGCAATGAGGGCCACCAACTTGGATAGCTTTGAAAGCTATTGATGGTGACTAGCCATGATGGCAGTGCTCTGTCTCCACAGTCAGAAGCAGTAAAGTTTCCAGATACCAGTCTCTGGAAACCACAGGAGGGGAGCATGCTCTTATGCTCAAGTCCTGCTTCTTGGTTTCCCACAGTTTAGCCACTGTGAGAACAGGATGCTGGTCATTGGCCTGATCCAGAAGGACTCTTACATTCTGATGGAGGCATGTGAAGAAAGGATAGGAAAATCTGACTGGCCACTAATGAACCTTTGATCCAGCAAAGTTATTGTTGATTTTTTGAAAATTGTCACATTCTATTTTTAGGACTCAATTTCTTGACTTTAAGAAAGCTGACTTCATAAAACTTAGGGAAGTGCTGGGTGAGATCCCATGGACAGTAATACTAAAAGGAAAGGGAGTTCATGATGGCTGGGAGTTTGTTAAGAGGGAGATAGTAAAAGCACAACGTCAGGCAATACCAATGAGATGGAAACATGGAAGGTGCCTAAAGAAGCCA